CTCGATCCGTGGGGCAGGCAGCGGAAGGGGTGCTTCTTGCCTGGCCGGGCCTGGCACCAAAGAATGGGTGCTTTGCCCTCATACCCCTCGCGACGGGAAATGTGTGGAATACACGGGATATAATCGAGGTGGCTTGCGCATTCCGAATTGGGCCCCAACTCTCAGCGTTCTTGCATCTGCATGTGGCACTGTAAGCCAGGTATTCGCAGCACAGCCTGTAAGACTCAAAGGCGAAATGTGCTGCCCCTCTCACATCTTCACGATTCCTGGGTATCCCTCATCTCTGTAATACGCCTTTGCAAAGTATCTTTGGACGACGTAGCCATGATCACCAAAGGTTCACCTACTGCCACGCAACCCTTGGCCTCGGCCGCGGCTCACCTGACCTGCCAGGCGATGGCGCGCACGCACACACACAGCCACCCATCCACCCACGCATGGCAGCTCAGTTGGCCTTGGGAACATTGCAAGGCTTTTGAGCTGGGGGCTGAAGCCATGCCTTTCAGCTTGGGAACACTGGAACACAGCCCGCCTGGAAGGGAGACCAGGGCAAGGTCTGACGCTGATGGCTGGTAGAGGTGGCAACCACCTGATGCAAAATGCAGGCGGCAACCCTTTCCGGGGTTGCATCACCCTCCCAGCTCAAAGGACAACCTTGAATTCCTAAAGCTGGCGTGGACATAGACACGTTTTCGCTCCTCTTTGCCCAGGGCTCTGAGGCTCCTTGAGCATAAAATTCTATAATACTAAAATGACAAGATAAGCCCATGTTCTATAAATAGCCGCAGCCCTAGGGGGCATTACCTATTTGCAAGAGATGTAATCGTGCTATGATTGTGCATGTCAGCAGCAAACTTTGGATACCGTGGCCGTTATGGCCCATCTTGACCAGGGAGCCATTGGATTTCAAAATGTGAGTGGCCGTTTGCGCATCATGGCTGCTTACCATTGCTTTCGCAGCAAAGGGGACTCCCAAATGAGAGGCCAGCGTCGGTTTAGTGGGCAGCAGAACCACCAGAACCTCTGATGAGGGCAAGTTCCTGCGTTCCACGTCAAACCTCCAGGATTTCTGGGAGCTTGCCGTGCCTCGCGGAGTGCCGCCGCCCATCGAGCGCAGCGTCACCGGCAGAAGCCCTGCGGGGCTCGCACACCGAAGAAAGCCGCCGGATCCGCGCCGGCGGAAAACCAGCATAAGTCTAGGGGTTGATTCCTTGTCCATTCTTTTCAACCATCGTTCTGTGCAAAAACCTGCTGTTTCCCCTGGGGTTCTGATGGTTTTCCGGAAAGAAGGATCCCTAGAAAGAATGGGGGAAGTGTCCCCTACAATAACGGCATCTTCCTGGATGCTTTCACTTGCAAGTCGGCGTGAGGGCAGGAACCTTGAATTTCTGGCATGTCGGCTAGAGCCGATGCGTGGATGCTTCGGATGGCTTCCCCGTGGGGTAGGACTGGTTTGTAGTAGGCTAACTGTTGGTTCAGATTGGGCTGTGGCAAGCTGAGTGATGTGATCCTCTCAACTTCTGGATCTCAAACGGAGCCCAAAATTTGCAACATATGGGCCAAATACTTCTTCAAAGATCGCCTGGCAAAGAATGCACCGCTCCTGTCCTTCCTTTACCTGGAGCGGTGCAATTGGAAAGAGGGGGCACCAGTGCGTACTATGCCCTCACTATGGGTGGAAAGTTGGCAAAAGGAGAAACTCGACCCTCTGAAATGTGCGGCCCCTCAGCTCCCTGGAATTGCACGTGCGCCTGGATGAGACAAACAGCACCGCCTAGGCGAGACGCAATCCCAGCAGCTTGCAAAGCACTTGTGCTCGATTCATCGCCTCTTCCCGTGTCGTTTCTTAAGCTCAGCACGGCTGCGTGAGCAGCAAAGGCAGGCCCACCCTGCACACATTGGGCCTGCAGGATGCATCACTAACGGATTGCTTTTCTCGGGTCGGCAAGGTCCTTCACAACATGCAGCATGTCCTTCCAAATTGATCAAGGATGCTCACAAGTCATGCTATATTGCAGGGAGGTGCTACCCGCTGCCACTGTCGCACAACAAGTGCAAAATAATTCGAAAGTCGAAGAGCATGCATGACATGCGGAGTACGTGCGCCTGACTAGGGAAAAGCATGCCCTGGGTCCACTCACACATGCAAAAATTCAAGATACTGACTGAAGGATATGATCGGAGATGTGATGGGCTAGCAGGGATGCGATGAGCTCCACGCTTGGATGCTATGGGCCTAAATTGCGGAAAACCCTGTCGCGCGATGGCAATTGCATCTACATCTTTATCATAGTGACAATAGTAATAATTATTATCCAAATCTACATCCATGTCTGCATGCATACATGCGCACGGCTGCCCATTGAAGACCGCGCAGCGCAGAATTGCATAGATATGCACCCATATTGGTACCCCCTATGTGTCCAAGTGGACCATGCCAAGCAGCCTCTCCTCGCAAATGACCCTTTGCCACAAAAAGCCAGCCCGCCTCTCCAGCGGGTTGATGGCAGGCAAAGCGCCTTGGCTCATTGCAATGGAAGGACACGACGTTGAACACACAAAGTGAGCTGAACATGTGAGGGCATGCCGGGTCAGCAAGGTTTCTGCAAGCATCGCTCTGTCCACCCGAATGCCCAGCATCTTACTGTCCACCTGGATGCCCAGGAATCTGTTTACCGTCTTGTCAAAGAAGGCAGTTCGCTCCCTGTTGGGACAAGTTGACCGAGCTGGGCGCCCCAGTCAGGAAGATGCGGAGCAGCAATGGCCAACCTCACAGCTGCTGCAAAGCAACTCAGACTCCATCATCTGGGCTGGAAGTCTGCCAGAGTCTGGCAACTTTCAACAGGAACTGAGCGACAAAGAAACCTGAGCACCAAAGCCGCGAGCAGCTTCAACAGGAGTAAATCAGTCAGCACTGCAGCAAATTACTTTCACTCTGCTGCTCGCATCCCCCCTGGAAAGTCCAAGCGCCAACATGCACAAAGGATGAAGAACGTGTTACAAACACTCCTCAACCTTTTGCCTGGCACATGTAGGCACGACATCAGGATGGGCATGCAACACAAGCCATCTGTTTGGCAGCAACTGCACCTGGTGGCTGACAGGTCAAACTGCCCAACACGCGGAACATCAAACGCCAAAGCCGTGAGTTTCCACCTGTCCCATGGTCCCATTGTCCGGCAATTGCGGGCTCCCAGAAAAGGTCCAGTTCCCCAGCAGGAAACCTATGCGATGAATGCTTCAACCATGGCGTGAGTTCGCTGAGGGCTCGTACCCAATTGAAACCAAGGATGATTACGCATTGCAGCAGTCAAAACATCTGATCATCGAAAGGCACAGATTTGCCCTTTTGCCCCCAACCCCCCCCCCCACCCCCGCCAGGATTCCAAGCACCTTCAAGCAACCTGGGCCTCGCGAACCAAGGCCTTGCCTCGAGCCCCGGACACCGCAAAGTTTGGGCGCTTCCCCGGGGGTTTCCGCTGGAACCGCTGCAGAGCCGCGGCGCCCTGCCCGACGGCTGAGAAGTCGGACCAACCAGCGGCATGAACCGGGCCGTTCTTCAGAGGAAGCCTCAAAAAATAAAGGTGTGCCTTTTGATTTCACTCTAATACCCCTAAAAAGGCTACCTTCAAAAAGGGAGACACGCCCAAATGTGGCTGGCGCAACGGAGGAAACAATTCAAGTGGTTCGAGCCAATTTGTCAGTGTGAAAAGGTTGAAGGATTATTTGACTCTGACACATGGGAACACCAATGGCAGGCATTCAAGACAAAGTAAATGAAGCGTGTGCGTATGTGTGTGTGTGTGTGTGCGCGCTGCGATCTGCGTGTGACTTGCGAATGGCACATCTCGATGTGACGGGTGCAGTTTGGGTGCGACTTGCTTTTTCTTGCAAATTGGCTACAGTACTATAACCTGCAGTCCCGCAATTGACTGGTTTCAGACTGGTTTCAGAGTGGTTTCAGGCCTCTTTTTTTGGCTAAGGCTAAGGGCAACAAGACGGCCCCACCTTGAGCATGCTGGATTCCCTCAAAATCTACGCGGCAAAGCTAAGACCCCCGGATAATTTACCAACCAGAGGCTCGGAAAAACTTGAGATTGCTTAAATCCACCGTAGAATTAAGAAATTTACGAGACTCTTGAAAGTAAAAAATGTGTTCTCATCACAAGACATGACTGTATTTGGGTAACGCAGGCCATGGTCAGAAGTAGACAATCCAGAGCGCATCCGGAATCTCAAGCACAACCCAGAGTGGCAACACTGTTGGGAGTCTCTCAGTCAGATTTGCCGAGCCTCGTGCTCAGCTTGACGATTGCCGGCTGGAGCATCCGGAAAGTCTATCGGGAACTCTGGCCTCACAAGCCCCACGAAGGCTGTCGGGCCTTCGATTCCAGGAAGCAACGTGCTGGCATGACCAAAGCAAGTGGGTGTTTGTGCGCACACACAGCCCACAAAACTCCTTCATAATCACATCAGGCAAGTGGCTGTTTGTGTGCGCGCACGGCCCACAAAATACTAAATCATTGATTACATCCGCAGCTTTCTTCAGAGTCTTCAGGCTTTCTTGTGAAACCACTCGAGGTTCAGTCCACCTCTTCTCATTGCCGAACGAGCTTCGGGGCCCCCGGCAGGCCGCGGCTGGCCAGCAGCCGCTGCCGGTCCCGAAAGCCCATGGCCCTTGCGCCTGCAAAGTGGCAGCGCAGCCTGGGCAAGAGCTTGCAAGCGCCAGGCGCCAGGCTCGGCATGACAGTCTTTACCATAGGCGTTTGGAAAAATAGATGGCCCTGGTACATGGCATGAAACCCATCTAAAGCAGTGCCTTCTATGTTCAACCAAACTCACCTAGAAAGGACACCTGTGGTCTTTACCCCAATCTAACGGCTGCGTGTCAACATGCCTGCCTACTCAACAGCCTGAGCTCCTGCGCAGGAGCTGACGAGCCCCTGGCCACAACTTCCGATGGAAGCCTGCAGAATGAAGGGCAAAGTGTGGAGCAATGCGCACCCTTCATCAATCCATCAACATGCTGCTCGTATCTGCTCATTCTGCACTTGCCTGCTCCATTTTTCCGCCTCAAGCGCTGCAGGGTCACACAGGCCCGTCAGGTTCTGCATCGACTGGTTGCGGTTTGCGCGGGCGCGTAGGAAGAGCTCAAATTGGAAATCCCTCGCCCCAGTCAAGTGCAGCGTGCCAAACCTCAGACGGGCCATGTCAATTCCATGGGATTGGAGAAGCGTTTGCCCAGTGCCAGTCAGGATGCCATGTACTTCTTCTTTTGCCAGCTCCAAGGGCAAAGCAGCTCTTCAACATCGTCATTCGGGTACCGCATGCTTTTTTCGGAGAACTGCGAAAAAAGATCTATCCATGAAAGGCGATGGCAAGCACCGGGTCCGGAACTGCTTATAAAGCGCAAAGCTTTTGAGAGAATTTGTTGTGGGATGGGAAACCTGTCCGCCCAGGGTGCTTCATGGGCTCAAAGCAAAGGTGCCAGGCTTGCACCCCTGTCCGTACCGGTTTTTGTCCGCATGGCAAGCGCCGAAATGTGCGTTTGTTTGCAAAATTGAGGCGGGGCAATCTGGCCCATCCCCCCAGACATGAACGCTTGCCAGCCGAGAAACTGCCTGACCATGGCACTAATGGCACCCGTGGTCCATATCAACGTCTTGTGAGACGAAAGCGCCAGCATAGCTGCCAATGTCTCCGGGATGGCCGACTCGTCTGAGCTGTGTCGAGGCCGCATCACAGAAGTTCGAAACCTGGTGCCAGTTTCTGTCGGCAGCTTCCGGATAACTTCTCTTGCCCGTATGTTGTCAGACTCAAAGAAGACCTCGCATGGTGTGTCCCCAGCCGTCAAACTGCCTGGCACTTTGGCCAAGTCCAGCTTTGCGCACAACTGCGTTGCGCACGCTGCTATTTGCCGAGCCGCCTCCTCCCGAGCAGGGCCCCACTCGCACCCGTATGTTTTTCAAGATGTCAGCATAAACCGCCAACAGCAAGACTTGCGTTTAGATGTCCGTGAAGAATGTGATTGACAACAGTGAGCGCTGATTTAGGTGCGAACAAAATTAATCATATCCTTGAAAGCACATCGTTGAGCATCCTAGCAATTCACAACTAATTTACAGTCAGACTTTCCGGAAGCACACTGCCATGGCATCATACTCCAGCCCTTTACGGTACTAAGCACAACAGCACCCTGCCAACATGTTGGGCTTACGGCCATCGTATGCCCCGTGCTGTGTAAGCGTGTTTGCTGCCGCGCGCGTTGCTCGGGCAAGCGGCAAGAGCTCGGTGCCATGTTACCTTGCCTGAATGCAAGCGCAAGTTTCAGACTGATTGGCATGCGAGCGTGGTCCTAGTCCAGCGAAAACATCAGACACGCCAAGAAGGAAGAGAAGGTGTGGTGTGGCTTTTGCAGAGTGCAGCGGCAGTCATTCGAGCATGACAACCATGATGTGACCGATGACTAGTCGCCGATACTGGATCCTTCGAGCAGCCCTGAAATAGCGCACAGGAATGACACCATGGAGGACTGGATTGCTTGCATCAAGATGAGCAGCGGTGGGTGGAGCAGCGCGACGCCGACCCTGTAGCTGTCTTGCAGCCTTTGAGTGAACGATTGAAAGCAGTCAGAAAGCCTAAGAACGGAAATTGGGACACTTGAACGTGCACGCTACTATTTGGCCCGACATGGGTTCACTGGTTTCCACGAGAGCACCCATTCAAAACGTAGGGCGAACGATGGCCGAGAGCCAACATGCTGTCTTGAACTTAGAAGCCCAGTGAGCCATCAGGAGGAAAAAGGCAATACCCTGGGACAACCCTCCTGGCTCAAAAATTCGCCTCTGGCTCATCCCCAAGTTCGGCCCAACTCCCCGGTTTTCCTCGCTTGCGCTCCTCCGGGCTCTGCAGCCCCCAGGCCTTGTCCCGCAGCACGGGCCTCTTGTCCGACGAATCCCCCGAGATGGAGCCCTTGGCCGAATCGCCCGTGCGCAGCTGCACCGCCACGTGGGACTTGACGCCGCCCTCAGAGGACAGTCAGACGCCCGGATCGGTCGACCGGGAGGAATGAGAAAGAAAGCGGCCACCCTGTTGCAGCTGAGCCATGACAGGGAAACCCTGGCAAGGCACCAAAGCTTCCTTCTCAACTTGCCGGTTGTCATTACCTGTTTGGGGGCCATCATGGACCCACGTCTAGTGCGCTGGCCCTAATTGCCAGCAGACCAAGGTGCGGCCAAATCTGTAGGCGAGCTGCAAGTATTTGGAAAACCTGCCGCTGCAGCTCAGGCCGCGAGCCAAGGGGAAAGTGTAGGAGACCTGGGCTGAAACGAGGCGTGCTCGGCTGCCTTGCCATGATCCCTGTGGACAGATCTGTCCAGCAGATTGTGATCCGTCCCTCATTGTGCCATGGCTATGAGGCTCATGCCATCAACATCCACCTTCCGATGTGAAAGCATGCGGGGCGTCTGATTGAACGTCATGGTTTTGGGGAGCCCGGAATCAAATGTCCAGCAGCTTCGGGGCCGCCATTCATGGCAAGACTGTCGACCGCGCAAATTGTGGCCCAAGCCGACCAAACCCCTAAGAAGTTTGCCAACCTAGATATATTTCCTGCGCGACTGCCTGGCGTTTTCAGGGCAGGCCACCTATCTATGCTTTCTTCACCCACAAAAACCGTGGTGGCATCCCAGCCGCACCCGGCCGCCATGGCCGCCTGATTCCGGAAGATGCCTTCCAGTGTGGCAGTCGGGAGGCCGACGCCCGTCAAATTCTGCCGCCAGAAAGGGCCGACGCCCCAGTTTCCTCCATGCGCCGAGGGAAGCCACAGGGAGTAAAGTGACTTTGGATCTGCGAGGGCTCACCAGAAACACAGCTGAGCACTCCTTGACCGTTGGCATGTTGTTATGTGCCCTGTGAACGATTTGGAACACATGCCTGTGCTCCGATCGTGCAAAAAAGGACTTCCAAGCCTTGTAGCAAACCTCGTGCTAGACTTCTTTTCCAGCGTGACGAGTTTATGTCCCAAGCTTGCGGGCCTGTGAATTGCAAGAACCCGGGGTCGCTGCTGAAGCCCGCAGCCAAGATATCCACTGGCCGCTGCGTCCTCCCAAAGTTCCATCCTGCGGAGTGCCCCAAACTTTGGAGAAGCATGCAAAGAATTTAGGATCGAGCGGCAAGAGCCCAAGAAGCACACAGCAAAGGCATCAACTGAGGACGCTCTTCCCCCGTCGCACCCACAGCCAAGCGACGCAAGCGAGAACCTCCGTACATGGATGCTAAGCCAAGCTGCTAGTACCTGCCCAAACCAGCATTGACATCATGCTTGATATGTTCAGCCAACTCGGCATTTGCACAAATGATATGGTCACCAATACCCGCAACAAAAAAAACAAAGCACCAACATCAGCAAGCACAAGGGACCCCCCCTCTCCTTCCATGGTTTTCACGCTGCGCTGGCAAGAGCTGTGGATGGCCATCTGCCAGTCAAAGAAGCGTGGTTGAACAGCGTCCTCCAACCTTCCGTGGCAATGACTCACGGGGTAAAGGCCTTTTGTAGAACTTTAGACGAACTTTCGTGGCAATACCCAGGCGGATGCCGAGCCTTTGACAAGCGCACAAAGCAACCGATGGATGGAAGAGAAAAGCTCTGGAGCAGGCTGCAAGGGTCAGACAGTGCCTCTGAAGTCAATGCGATTCACCTGGAGCCAAACACGGGTAGGAGCCAGTACCGCAAGCACAAAGGAACAGACTGTCGGGCGTCTTGGCAGACTAAACCCTGCTGCAGACCCTGCAGTGATGCTGTTCCTAAAGAACGGAAACGTGTTTTGCGTTGGATCCAAAGCAAACGTGCTGCAGAGTTGGTTTATGAAGGGTGCTTGCTTCAACAAAGAAATTCATACATGCCAGCATTTGACCATCTGCGAACGTTGGCAAAAACATGCGGGTCTACGAGCACTTGATTCCTTCTCCTGTGAGGGCATCTCGAATTGAGGAACCAATGCCGCAACATGCGGCAACATGGAGGATCGCACCTCGGCCACTTCATCAGTACGGCCCGGCCAGTAACCAATGCCAGCGCCATAGTAGCCTGCAAGCCTTGCCTGAGGCAAACCGTTTGAGTGCTTGATGTGAGGAATCATCCGCCGACACGATCCCAGCACTGTTGGCAAGCGTCAAACGTGCAATATGACAACAATGCTTCTGAGTTAGCACAGGCCTATACACATTGACCGTGTCATATGCCCCTCACCTAAGATTATCTGCCGCTTGCAAATTCCTGGCTGGGAATTTGTTCTGGTGGCGCTGTTCCTGAACGCACAATTGAAATATATTGAGATTTAGCTCGCGTCACGTACTGCCTGATTCTGTATCAAGGCAAGTGGCAATATTCAAAGCGGGAGGCGAAACGAAAGAATCACATACAAGCCGACACGACCATACGGGCACATGCATGCCTTTGCATGCCTGACGCAACATTTAAGACGTTTCCCCAAAGAGCTGAAACCTATGGGGCCTTTGCTCCGGGCAGCTCTGAAGTAGGGTTCCGAGGAGGGTTTCGGGGGCGCATGGGGCGGTTTCTGAGGGAAAAGTCCATGGACACATGGAGGAGGCCTGGCCACCGGGTCGCGGTTGGCCGGCTATGCTTGTTCACTGTCAAACAAAGCTGGGCCGTTTGGCTATGGGTCAAAACCCCGCACCCCCAGTGCAGTGAACATCCCAATCCCCACTAAAATAGACTAAAATGGGTGGTGCACCTACCCCAAAATGGTACCATTGGTCCACGGCCGTTTCCCTGCAAAATCTCACAAGGAGGCGTCATATCCCAATCCCTCGCTGTTCTAGAGCAGAAGCTCGCGTGTCACCTTACAATCTGGCTTGCGTGCCAGGGAAATGGCACAGCCCTGCTTTCTGCTCCAAACTGTTTCTGCATGCAGGCTTTACACAGCGGGTCGACCGTGTTTTTTGGAATAAAATGGTAATCTGCCGATGAATGACAGTTCTGGTGTGTATTGCTATTCTCTTGGCTCATAGGGCACTGTTTCCGGCTGCCCCTTTCGACATGAATTTTGCAAAACCGCCAAACCGTTTCGTGCTTGGCCACCAGCGGAGCTACAAGTATGGGACCCCGAACAGCCGAGCTGCAGCATGTTACCAAGGCCCTGCCCTCGTCGGCCACTCACATGTTGCAAGTAGCGAGGCCCTTGCTGCCCGCAGACCACATTCTCCTTGCCCATACTGCCTGGCACGCTGCCCAACATGCGTCTTCACCACAAACTGCTTTACATGATTCCTGTGGACACACATGGTAAACATATGTACACATTGATCAGGACCTCACAACCATTGCACACGTGAACAAACTTGGTGTTTTCGTTGAGATTGGTGCTTTTTTCTTGCCCATTGCAAAATGATACGCTTTCGCCCTGCATTTGTAACGTGCCTCTGCGCAGGTGCACCACCATGTAGCCCAGCCACAGCCTCTCCTTGACCCCAAGCTGACTCGAGACCTGCAATGCACAAGCGCTGCTGTGGAAGGCCTCCGCCCCCCCCCCCAAAAAAAAAAAACGCAGCTGATCAGCTTCCCCCTAATTGGTGGTTTGGGGCCTGGAGGTTTGGTGGCTAAGGGCTGGTTTCCCATTTAGCCTCTATAAAGCCAGGGTTCAAATCCAACCCAAATCGCCAAATAGGGGGAAGCTGAGCAGATGGGGAATGATGGGGACCCAAACCAGCATAACCACACGCGCAAAGGCCATGCCCCCACTCTACTTTGCCTAAGGGGTCTAAGTTGAATCCCAGGTTCGCCATGTTTCGTGTTTGTTCCCCACCCGACAGGAAGGGGTTGTTAGATTTTATGTTGGAATCCGCGTTTGCGATGCTTCTACACCACGCCCCCACCCAGTATCCCGCCAGAGCAGTTCGCCAGTGGATCCCGCCGAGTATCCCGCCAGAGCTGCTCACCAGTGGATCCCGCCCAGTATCCCGCCAGAGCGGCTCGCCAGTGGATCCCGCCCAGTATCCCGCCAGAGCGGCTCGCCAGTGGATCCCGCCGAGTATCCCGCCAGAGCTCGCCAGTAGCGGCTCGCCAGTGGATCCCGCCGAGTATCGTGCCAGAGCAGCTGGCTAGTGGATCCCGCCCAGTATCCCGCCAGAGCTGCTCGTCAGGTGATCCCGCCGAGTATCCCGCCAGAGCGGCTTGCCAGTGATCCCGCCGAGTATCCCGCCAGAGCGGCTCGCCAATGGATCCCGCCGAGTATCCACTAGCTCACCAGTGGATCCCGCCAGAGTAGCTCGCCAGCATCCCACCAGAGCAGCCTGCCAGTGGATCCCGCCAAGTATCCCGCTGATCCCTTGCCGGTGGATCCTGCCGAGTATCCGTGGCTCGCCAGTATTCGCCAGTGGATCCCGCCAATATCCCGCCAGAGCAGCTCGCCAGTATGGTTTTGCTTACTGTCCAAAAGGGCCGATTTGAATTTGGAGTCGAAGTCTCCAGGATGCGGAATAATTTGTTGTAACGGTCGTAAGCTTGTGAGTGTGGAGGGTGGGGATTGCTCGAAGCGAAGTATTTTGTATAATTCAGAATCCTGTGGCTGGTTCGAGGTTCGCGTTAATAGAAAGGGTAAAAAAATATATGGGTAGAAACAATCCGGCTCAAAGGATTAAAGGCCTCAAGTCTAGGAAAAGTAATTTTGCAAGCAGCCCCCAAACCATCAAATTCAAGATAACTTCTTCATCTGAGAAAAGGGCCAGGCCAAACAGACATGCAAAGGGGCTTGCGCACGAGAGACCCTGATTCTGTCTGACTGCTTCGGGATTCGCTCTCTCTTTCTCTCTCTCTCTCTCTCTCTCTCTCTCTCTCTCTCTCTCTCTCTCTCTCGCTCGCGTGCTATGCCAACAGGTCGAGACCCCCTAATGTAGGCTTCTTGGGGGTTGGGACATTCCCACGTCAAAACCTTAGCAATTTAGCGGAACAAAATTATGCACTGGGAATCTAAGAGTAAGTCTTGGCAATACTAAACTTTGAGCTGGCAATATTAAGTTAAGCATTAACAAGTCGAAGTCGGACCAAGACCCCCCGAATTGTCTACTCAAGAGGCCCCTCTGGACTGTTGGCACTGCTCTGGCCGGGGTGCTCTGCTAAAGCAAGCACAAGTGCGCATTGATGCTGTGGATGTTGTACGTGGCATAAGTGAGTTGCTCGGTAGCTGGCGCAATCAACACACGCCAATGTGATGGCGCAAGCCCAAAACGGCGGTGCAGCTGGTTTGATACGTCCAAAACAACTGGGACCATGCCTTACATTGACACATGCAGCGGTTTTCTTGCTCAGATAATAAGAGGAAACAAACGCCCCTGCTCGCTGCACTGTACTTTCATGTTGCGCTCAGGCCAAAGAGCGAATGCCGACTACGCCAAACTTCGGCCTGCAGCTGCCCATCTCTCAGCGCGCAGGGGAAGCCGCAGGAAGCATCCACCATGTCCGAGACGTTGCCCGCCCCAAGGTTAACACCCTCCCTTGGCGCCCGCAGAATTTGGGGCCCTTGTGCAATTCCCTGCGAGAACTTTGGCAGCTGCGAGAACTTCAAACCAAAACGGCTGTCAGCCCATTCATCATTCACATCCTTAAACGACTGAACTGTACCGTCAAGCCAAGACATTGCCATGGCTTACGGGAGATAGGCGGGGGTTGGCTATTGCGGGCGCATCTCGGTGACCTTCGAGATGGCAAAACTTCTGCCACGCTGCAGAAGGGATGGCGTGCTGCGCTTCCCGAGGTAGCTGCACAATCGGCTGCCCAAGTCCTTCCTTATCAAACTCCAAACAAGCTTGCAAGAACATCGCAGTTTCTTGAGCATGAGCAGTGCGGCAGGCTTCCGTCATGAACCTGAACTATTTCACACACCCATGGATTACGTCATGTTCAACGGGGTGCCTCCATCGATGCAATTGTCATGCGTGTAGCAGGATGCTTTAAATATCTTCGTGTGAGTGGGCCAGGGATTTTGGCACATGCTTTCAGGCAGTAAGCTGCCGTGCTTCAGCCCGCTCGGAGAGTTGGCCATGGCCCAAACCTCGTCCAAAGGCATATCAAGCAAAGCTTGCAGCGGCGGGTCCAGCACATTCCTGAGCGCGCTGGGTGTGAAGACACTGCTCAGCTCAGGATCTGCTTACACGATCGGATGCTGGGTTGTCACTTAAACCAACTGACACATGTTTGAGCATGTCCGTCCAATGCGAAGCACTCGCCAGTGACCAACTCAGCTTGTCTCAGCAGCGCCTACCGCAAGAGAACTTTGAAGGCATCATTATCATGCTGAACTGTAAGCCCATAACTCGCAACTATGCAAACCTCCTGCTGCATCAGGGGGCAGAGTGAATAACGCAACGAAGTCTCTCTGCTCAGGCAGGTTTGCAAGCCGAAGCCAAAATGAGCAGGGGGCACGCCTAACATCCTAACCAACGCACCATGAGGCAATTTGAGGCCAGACACGTGGAGTTCGTCAGCTTCAAACGGGCCAAGTCCTGAGGGCGAAGGCCGCGTCGATGTGTTTTTTGACCCCGAGCTGCGCACCAAAAAACGCCGCGCGAACTTCCGGGAACCTTGAGCTACAGGGCCGAGAAGAGAAACCGGTGCTTGCCAAATGGATGTGCATCCAAACTGAACCACTTGAGCCATTGGGAATCTGATGCTTGCTTGCACCTAGTGGGCGGTTCAAGGCAAAGGACCATGGCTGACTTGGAGAACCCCTTCAAAAATCATTCAATCCAGGCCATCCGCTCGCGAGAAAACTTGGCTCGAAGCCCCAAGGACTGTCCTCGGCTGGTTGCTTGCTCTGGCGCTCACGAGGCTTCTCCCGGACGCGTGCACTGCCGAGCCTGTTCCTCAGCTCTCACGGCTCGGGGACTTTGAGAATCAAATTGAACGGCGCCCGCTTTTTGCCGTCTTTTGTGTGGCAAGGAATGGCTTTCCCCATGGATCTTGCAGTTGTAGAGTGAATTCAGGCTGGTGGGTGGGTGGGTTGGTTGGGGTAGTTTACGGGTGGTTCAGGGTGGGTTGGTCTGGGGTCGGTTTTGCGGGGTCGGTTTAGGGTGCAGGGTGGGTCCAGTGTTCACTTAGGGTTCGTTTAAGCTTGGATCCAGAGTAGCTTTGATGAGAGGGACTGTTGCCCCTCCCGCTACTTCCCCACCCCGAAGTTCCAAATGTGGCCTACGGCAATCCTCAAACAGCGTCAATGGTGCTGCCGAAGTCTCCCAGAAAAGAGCCAGACATAGAAGTCGTCCCACAAAGTGGCGGCTGCCACCACCACTGCAAGGATCCCAACCACCACAACGGCGCGCATCAAGTGCAAACGGCATGGGCATGCGGGAACGGCTGCTACGGGTGCCTAACCGTCAAAGCAAGTATGCTGGTGAATGACCGTGCCGCAAGCTTTGTGAGCAGGGCTCTTTACGGCTTGCTTCGGCTGTCAGAAACGCAGCAAAACCCCGGCTTGCCTGGCTTTTTGAATTCAGGGCCGGGGCAAAAGCAACCCAGGCTTCACACTCTGATCAGCTTCCACCCTCCAAAGACTGCATTGAAGAGCACAGCGTATCATTTCAGAAACCATCTGTTGCGCTGGGGGCGTTCCTGACCTGCAAACCCTGCAAGCCGATCTGCGCATAAGCAAGCTTCGCTCTCACTTCCTCAAGCTTCCGCCTTGAAAGGAAGCAAGTGGATAATGTTGGAACGGCTCAGAATAGCAAGCTAAGATTCTGAAAGCCTGGAAACAGGTGCAACAATCAGCGGTTGGAGATCAGGCTCCTTGGTGTTCAGGCTGTGCCCAACTGTTTGCCACTCCAAGAAATGCTGCATAACCTGGCACCCTCCTGAGCAAAGAATAGTCCATCTGCAGACCAAAAGCAACCTTTGCACAGCGCCTGGTGGGAAGAGGATGTCCACGCCCGCCGCGCAGTCCGCCATCTTCCCCCCATGCCGAAACACCAGCATAACAGCTACGTGGCCGTCCTGGGAGGTTGGAAACCGTTAAACACGGACCAGCAGTCAAGTTCGGCTGCTGTTTACCGCAGGCTCTACGTGACATGGCTGTAAATGGCACCCCTTTTGCGCTGGCCGCCACTGATTGAGTGCTGCAGGCAGCGCTGTCCTCGGAGGGAGTGTGGCTGGAATCAGCCCACAAGCCACCTCAGTTCAAGCAGCAGTTCATCCCGGTCTTTGCATTCGTGTGCATGTGTGCGCTCTATGTGAATCTCTCTGACTGAACTTGAGCTCCCCTGTATTTTGTGAGTATGTCGCACCTGCATGTGTCTGCATGCCCCCTATATTTCTCTGCATTGCATGTTCTCTGCATATCTCTGCATGTTTTGGCATCGACACGTCCGCAGTGATCTGTGCCTTCTTTTCACTGTCTCTGCGCCTCTGTTCAAGCCAGGTCTCAATCGTCAAGCGCGTATCCAACGAAATGAGAAGCTGCGTGATTCCTACTCTCAAGCAGGTGTCCGGAAATCGGGCCCAAGCGGGCCAACTACGTACACAACAGGTATGCAACCCTATTAGATACGAGCATGCTTTATAAATAGCAGTTGTGCATCCAACCTGGCGTGTGCCCGTGTCCCTAGCCTTCCCGCAGAGATGGCATTTGACCGAATTTTGACCCTGCCAAGAAAAAGAAGTGTTTTCGTCAAGTGCCCCGTGAAGATCCTAGGGGCTCGAGCCAGTAAGCAATTCTGACTTGAGGCAAGCGCCCTGCGCGGCCTCTGGCGGCCATCGTGCCAGCCTGAGTGCACATGCGCACCGAAAGCACTCAAGATCAACTTGGCTTCTAAGCTTTCAACAGCTTCAACTCGCTGCCTTCGCATCGCTCCTGTCCCACAGCATTTTGAATCCTGGCCGGGCTTGCCCTAGCACGCTTCTTTGGCCACTTCCGTAGAGGCGTCCGGCTGCAGCATGGCACAGTGACGCGTGAGCTGGCCATGCGGAGCACAGCTTGGCCTTCCTCGATCCTGCCTTGGCCACCTTGATTGAGTGGAGGAGCCCGTCAGGTCTGGTGCATCACAGCTCCTTCTCCTGCGGCATGCGCACGGTGCGCGCCCAGCGCTCCGCCGCGCGAAAGGCGCCGTCCGGCAGGGCGTTGATGAAGCGCCGGAAGTGGCGCACCGCCTCCGCGGCCAGCTCCGCCTCTTGCGCCGGAGGCAGCTTGCCCCAGGCCCAGTCCGGGCGCGCCTGGGCGTGGAACTTCACCACCTCCGCCACGGCGGGCCAGGCGCCCCCTTTGGCTGTGACCAAGCCACTGGCCAGGGCCAAGGTGTTGCCCAGATTCACCGCCTGGTGCCACCAGCCCGGGGGGATCACCAGAGCGTCCCCTGGCCCAAGCTTCGCCTCCCATAAAGGCACGCCTTGCGGCACGCGCTCGAACAGATCCACGCGGCCCTCGTAGCTCACACACTCCAAGGCCGCTCCACAGGTGCGCATCACCACATCCAAGTGGCGATCATGGCCGCCTGGGGGGATGAGTCGGAAGAACTTCTCCCCACGCAGCACCACGTTGGTTCCGGTCCAGTTGTAGGAATCCACGTGCAGCCTGGATCTGGAGTACCTGCCTCCCCAGAGCAGCGTGGCATTCTGCGGCGCCAACTCACGCGGCATGAGCGCAAAAAGGTCTTGCCCGTGCAGCAAAGGTGGCAGGGCAGGACAGGCAGTCATCAAGTGAGGATGCCTTTTCAGGAAAAACTCATCATGTAAATACGACCATGCAGCTTGAGAGTTCTTGTTCACATTCTTGATGAAGGTCGCAAGCTTCGTTGACATGACCCGGTCCTCTGCCTTTTCCGAATGAGCCACAAACAACACCCGGTCCTTTCTGAAGGGCGTCATGATCTCGTTCTCCACCCATCCATCTTTCAAGCAGGGCATTTCGGCATAGGCCGCTTCCAGCAGCACAGGCACCTGACCCTCAAACTCCTCGTGGTACCGCTGCCACGTCAAGCCCCGCTCCCTTGGCACCTGCCGCGGCTTTGTGTACGTCGCTTCGGAGTCGAAGCCCGCCCTTTCTGTGGCCGGCTGGCGAAAGTCCCGCCACTGCTCCACCAAGTCCTAGCGGCTTCCAAAAGAAACACATGAATCCAAACAAACCCAGGGATGACAATCACCTGGAACGATTGTTTGCAGGGACACGAAGCACAGATAGATGCGAAGCACCCTGTTGAACACGTGAAAGCCGCCAGCGCAGGCACTTGCAAAAACACTAGAGTTGGGAGACACGGAGACAAAATGACTTGCACTCCGCTCCTGGAAAGGGGTCTCTGACACCTTGGGCGGCTCTTCCCAAGGCCAGCTGCTGGCAAGCCGCAGCAGGACACCGATGGCAGGGCAACTTGATCTCATGGCAAATGCAAAGCTGACATAGCGGCAGGATGCAAGGGGCAAAGCACGTCAGCGACTCATGGCAAATCCGTGATAATCCATAACATATTTCTGGGCAATTCTTTGGTCACTGAGGCTCAA